ATATATATATATATATATATATATATATATATATATATATATATATATATATACATATATTACTAAAATTGCAAGCAAGTACTTACTAAAGATTTCTATAATTGGTATTGAAGTAGTATTATAAATACAGAATAAAAAGAAATACTTACTTTTGAATAACAATATCTTATTCAGGTTTGTTTCTATAATTACAGGCAACAAAAATAATCCATAAAATAAAAAAAAAATAAATCCAAACGCCATACGTTTCTTCCTAAAAAAAAAAATAACACCCTGTATAGTTATTTTTTTTAATGCAATGTAAGAAAAAAAGCAGAATTTGACAGATATAAGGTAAAATTGTATAAAGCTGTGTCATTGGTTTATTTAACAAGCAACAAATATTTTGATATCTGAAGGGGAGTTAGATTTGAGCAAATTTTATCATTAAAGTTTGAATTAAATTATTATAAAGTCATTTTGTGAATCAATTATAGTTTATTGTTAAAATACAAACCTTTTTAAGTAGAGTTTTGATGATGTCATAATTTGAAGTAATTTCTATTGGTTTCTAAAACCTCAGTAAGCGTAAAGGGAGGTTTGGTCCATAGCAACCCCTAGTTACGCGATAAATAAGGACTTCTAGAAAATCTAAGATGGAGACGAAAAAAAAGGTGTTACCCGAAAGAAAATTAGTTTAAAAAAATCAATAAATATTGATTTGGATAATTTAAACAGTATAAAAAATATTAAGTAAGTCAATGACATACAATTTATAAATTATATTGCTTTGTATGAATGAATTTATAAAGAAAAATTCAACTTACCGGCCACAAAGTGTCTTCAAAGGATTTGGAGTGTCTCTCATCCAAAGAAAGAATCCGATATAACGTAAGTGCAAGCAGATCAGTTCCCATATTTCGATATTTGCAACGCAAATAAATGTTCTTACTTAAATTTCTACTCAAACAGAGGTTATGAATAGTAATCTACCTGGTATTTACGAGGTTTATTCGTAGATGGTAGCACGATCTCGCGTTTTGCGTGTATAGTAGGTCACGCAGAGAAATTAAAAATTAAAATAATCTGGATAAAAAAAAAAGGAATACAAATTATAAATTTTGATCAAAATTTTTAATAATTTCACGAATATACAGTAAGGTGTACATATTAGTTTAAGGAATTTTACTTACATGAATGTTCATTGTTATTTATGTCAAATTGTGTTTTATTTTCATTTTATGAAATAAAAAAAAAAAATCTGTTATTTGAATCTTGAATGATAATTATCATTATTATCAGAGTATTTGAAGTGTTTAGAGCGCCAATAGAACCCAACCTGAGATAAGAGCCCAAAAGGAAAGTGGGAAACTTACCATAAATATTAAATTTAAACTATTTTGTTAAATCTATATAAAAACGACTGAGCATAGTTTTATAAAGGGAAGTTTTGGTTTTCTTTTCGATAAAATAAAAAAAAAAAAAAACAAACTAAATAAAAATAAATATAAAATAAACAAACCAAAACAGTACCTATGTATATTAAACAACAATCTCACAGAAGCACAGCATACAACTATACAAATGGATTATAAAGATAATTTATTTTAAAAATAGGCATTCAGTTGCGATTTGTGATTACAAAAAGAAAACTGTAACCACTTTTTCTGATCAGTAATGTTAGTGTTATAGTGAAAAAGTTTCTAAAAACTGGTGTTTTTAATCCTAATAAAGCATTGTGAATTTCCAAGAAAAGTGCATGATGAAAATTGTTTTGACCAAAATTTTTAATGTCATGCCTTTTAAAAAGAAACCCTGTGGCTGTGGATAACATTTGACACAAAATCTTATCCTAAAAATAACTGTTTGGTTGCATTGGAGGAATAATTTCTTCATTGGTACTTTTTTAGGGTGCAAGGATGACTTGATATTACTAAATTTAAACCTTTGTTATAAGTTGTCTTTTTGCTTTAATTTCTGGTACACCTGTATTGTACATACTTGAAAAATATAAAATTGTTTAAGTGGGAAGTTTATATACAAGGTGTCTCATTGAGAAAGGGATACAGAACAACTGAAGAGTCTGATTAAAAATAAGACTATGCTTAGAATGCGAATATTCTTCATTTTAATTTTGAAGTTTCTTGTAAGTTCCCAACAAAAGTACCTATATGATTTACTTAAAAAACATCAAAAAATATATAATTATAGTTCAAATAAGTGTAACGTATCTTATGACACCAAAAACTTTTGCCAAATTTGGTAAAATTGTAGGTAACTCTTCAGTTTTTCTGTGTCCCATTCTTAATAAGACACTACAAAATTTTTTTTATTATTTAAAAAAATATTTATTGACCTTTAAACAACACTATTTTGTTGTTTTGATGTCTTATGCTAGCAGCTTTATTAACTCTAGTTTTAGTGAGATATTTATCAAATATGCACTTGATTAATAATATTCTATGATTATCCAACACAAACTGGTCCAAACTGTGCTGCATAATATTCGAAAAGACATTAGAATTTATGAATTCTTTTAAAACTAATGTGCTGATGATATCAACTGATATTTTTTTCTTAGAGTCTTTCATAATTTTTAATATTTTTTCACATTTTAAACAAATGTTTATTACATCTTCCGATGGATATTGCAAACCATTTTTATTCTTTATATCAATGAATGAAAATAGAAACAAATCTCTAGTTTTACTTATTAAAGCATCTAGACATTGTTCACAAATGATTTTCTTTTTTAAATAATAAACAACATATCCAGAAATATAAGTGATTATATATTTAGAAAAGGAGGAGACTGGATCTGTTAAATAATCATGATCATTTTCAATAACATTCACTTTCTCAAAATCGTCAATATTATCAGACATTGCATATTCCTTTGAAGTAACATTTAACTGGCTTGTTATATTGCACTTTAAAATAGTTAATTCCTCCAAAGGAATACAATTTCCACGGAAAATATCTCTTAATTCAACATGAACTAAATTTTTTTTATATGCAGTATTAAAAAAAGTTAAGCATACTAAAAAAAATTCTAAGTACACTCCTTATACTTACTTATGCACACTTAGTCATGATTTTTATACAAATTAATCAAAAAAAAAAAACACTTATTAAGATAGAAATAACGTCGAAATATTTAAATTTGAACAAAGTTCTGACAGCTCTTTGACAACTATGACATGACAACTTAGAGAGGGGGAAGGGGTGTCGTTTTTTTTTGGCATGTCATCTCCATAGTATTCAACCTCATTGGCTGGGCCCAATTTATATACCTAGGTAGTCGTTGGCCGTTCGTTCGTCGCTGCGAATTTTGACATTTGATTTGACAAGACATAACCACAAACTCTACGAAACAAATTAGGCATTCCAACGACCTGTCAAAATGGCTACCAGTAGGGACTGACAGTTTAGTTATGGCAACCCTGTTGTCATGCTATCAATAACAGGGCCAATGATACATACATACAACTAACTCGTTACTGGGGTCTTGTTAGGAAAATCACCGAGACAGGTCGATTTTTGATTTCTACAATGTACATTTTTGCATGATTAGTTTACCCTTAATTTCATCCCTTACTGGAGAGTAGCAACCCTTTCGAAAAATTTAAATGGCATGGGGTGGTAAGTGATAGCTCATTTGAAAGGGGGTTTTATTCTCTATTCAACCGTGCAAAAAATTTTGAAATTTTCTTCATTACGTGTTGATTTATTAATGTTTAAAAATAACAAAACCTCACAAAATAGGAAAGCAACTAGACTAACAGTGACCTTCTAATGGCAAAAAGTCTTACTTCACGTTTGAACCAAAACCGAAATCATGCAGGGCCGAATTTTAATTCTAAGGATGAGTGCGCTACGTTAATTTCCGTTATTCTGAAACAACAATTAGTCGAGAATTAATGAAGCAAATTTCAAATTTTTTTACACGGTTGAATAGAGAATAAAACCCTCTTTCAAATGAGCTATTACTCACCACCTCATGCCATTTAAATTTTTCGAAAGGGTTGCTCCCCTCCAGTAAGGGATGAAATTAAGGGTAAACTATTTATACAAAAATGTACATTGTAGAAATCAAAAATCGACGTATCTCGGCGATTTTCCTAACAAGACTCCAGTAACGAGTTAGATAGGGGGGGTAAGACTTATGGTGCTCATTGTATAGATTGCTCAAAGCTGGTCGTTTGCGAGCGGTCATATTGCCTGGCAAATATTTATTAATTTGAATCGGTTTAGCAAAAATGCATTTTAAAACCAATTTTCAGTCTTTAGATATTTAAAAAATAATAATTGTTTACATTTTTACTTCAAGGTATAAGCTTATGTTTATTTTGAAAAATATGGATGATCAATCTATGTAACTACCTATTTCATTGACCTTGTCAAATCACCAGGCCTACAGGGTTGCCATAATTTTGCCATATCATAACCTGTCAAAACCCACTGGTAGCCATTCAGATTGGAATGCCTAATTATATTTCGTTGTTATTTTGTTTTAATTATATTTGTAGATGGTATTGGTCACAAAATAATTATAAATCCGTTATAATTTCGTATCCAAAACAAACCTATCATGTCACTTTAGGATCCCGTTGATGCATGCGTAAAATATGTAGGCTGGCTGACGAGCTAAGAAGAGCCTATAGATTGTTTGTTTAAAGTTGTTTCTGTTAACTATTTGTATGTCGTGTGTTTTTTATTTAATTAAAAATTATTCTAGTGGTTCTGATGGTTCTAGTAGTTTCCAAAAAGGCTAAAATAAAACTCACTATATATAGAAATTATTTAATAAAATTAAGTCATGGCTACATCTAATCAGTCATACCTTAAATTAAAAATATTTACATATTTATAAACGACTTTTTGTTGTAATATTTTAAAAAATAGCGATACAAACAAATGCATTACATGAAACTTCTGCATTCTGCAAACCTAATTCATTGTTAATAAAAAACAAAAGGAACAACGCTAAAATTGATTTTTGTTTATATTTTTAAATTTTTATAAAAAAAATGGAATGTCTAGCAAAATAATATTTTCTATTTTTAGATTTTCCTCCAAATGAATTATAAATAAAATCAATTTTAGATGTTGCATTTACTGTCAAAAGGTCAGTGGCAGATTAGGATTTCTAGGTACCTTCTTAACCAGGTAATTTTGAAACGATTATACGTGATATATTTCATGTAATTAATTATTCATCAGTTCTCAAATTACTGCATCTCAATGATTATATTTCGAAATAAGTTTCTAGTAAATAGTTATCTTTTTTATTCAAAAGAGTTACAGATTAAAGTGAGAAAATTTCACTTAGTAAAAACCATTTGAAAGCTCTTATTTTGAACTATTTTACATAGAATGCACACCTTTTTTTCACATTACATTTTAATTTTAAAATGAACAAGAAATAATTTACTTAGTAGCCAGAAGCTTCAGATAGATCTTCACGTATCTATGTACCAACGATTCATGACATGTGACATGTGATGAAAAATACCAACAGAAAATTAAAAGGTAAGTTGCCCATGGGCTTTAAATGAGATGAAAGAGGTGTTTTTGATGAAGAAATCTGATCAAGATAGATATGAAACTATTGCTGTTTAAATAACTTTAGAAAATAACAGAAAAGTTTTTTCTAAAATGTAATGTATAGAGTATGTTAATCAAAATACTCAATATTATTACAAAAATAGAGGAATAGACAAAAATGGATACTTATATTTAGTGTCCGATGACATCTTTATACATAAATTAGGTTTAGGATACCTTATTCTTCTGTAGAAATCATGAATCGTTGATATATCAAAAAATGCCTGCAAAAAAGTTAGATTTGCTCTAATACAATAGAAAGTAGTTTTAAAATGTGGTTATGATTATTAGAGATATAAACCCAGTTAAAAATATATAGAATGTCATTATTTATATGCCTAGTAGTATGAAACATTCTGGAATCAAAATTTATAAATTCTACCAAAAAAAAAAACAATTAATTATATTGTAGCTAAAAGATCTAGAACATTAGACCATAGAATTAAAAGGCTATGTAAGGTTAATTTAAATCAATTAAATTTTGGTTCCTCATAGTCTTCTAATTTATACCGGAAGATAAATAAACAAATTTGTTTAAAATACCAATTTTGTTATTTATTAAAGGCATAAATGTAATGATTATTAAAGAATATCAATTGCAATTTTTTGTATCCTTAACAACTTAATTGGATAAATAAAAGAGATTGAATTACTTGTTACGACATACAGGGTGATCCACTTATACTCTGGAGTTTGATATATCCGTTGTTTTGAGAGGAACAAAAGTTTTAAATTCAAATTATAGACCCTGTAGAGCCTGATAGAACCCTATATTGCCGGAATGGAGAAAATGAGCAAAATTCAAATTCGAGATAACATATGAGGTGTTCCACTAAAAAACATAACTTTTGGTATGCTGTGACTTTATAAAACACCCTGTATATTACGAAATAATTTTAAAATGTGAAGCTGAACTCTATCTATAATTTGTATTTAAAACTTTTTTGGTATTCCTCAAAACAACGGAGATATAAAACTGCTTCTTTCTGAATAGAAAAAAGGAAAAACTATATTTAAAAATGATAAATCTATTGCAAATTTCCAAAGGCGGCATTTAAAATAAACAAGCAGTAATCTTAAGGAGTTAAAATAGGTGCAATCTATTGCCCACTAAAATACAACCAGAAAAAAGAAAATTATCTCGATGTACTCAAAAAACTAGGTAACAAATTTATTATCGGTGGAGATTGCTTCTCCAAAAACCCCAACTGGAGTTCAAGATTAACCACAGCCAAAGGAAAAGAATTGAACCGAGCTGCATCAGAACTTGGTTGTACATAACGATCTTCTGAAAAACCCACCTATTTTCCCACCGACCCAAATAAGATTTCAGACCTTTTGGTTTTCTTTATTCTGAGGGAAATTTCACCAAACTATATACAAGTAGAAGGAAACTTTGATATGGATTCAGACCATTCTGCAGTATTCCTTACTCTAAGTGATAATTTTATTCAAAAAGAAGCCAAACCGACCCTAGCAAATCGGAAAATTGAGAAGGTTTTCAAGAGGACTTAACAAATACTATTCAACTGACCATAACACTAAAAACGAAAAATTAGCTAGATAAAGAACTGGAAAGGTTTATAGTTAAAATCCAGCAAGCTGCATGGAGGAACACACCAAAAGTAAGTAGATTAACAGCTGGAAAAAGCTATTCTCTCGAGATAAGAGAACTGGTAACAGAAAAAAGAAAACTAAGAAAGAAATGACAGATTACAAGATCACCAGAAGATAAAAATATATTAATTAGGGCTACCCAAAGACTGAGAAGAGAAATCCTAATCTTTTAAGAGATACCTAGTAGGGCTAACAGATGATAAAGAAACTGATTATTCGCTCTGGAAGGCAACTAAAAAAAAATTCGTGTAAACAGAATAGCAGATAACAAATGGACAAGAGACAATCAACAGAAGGCTGATATTTTCACTGACTACCTTCAAAAGACGTTCCAATTAGATGAAAATCAAGACACTCTTAATGAGACGATCCATAATATGGAACAACTTGAAATTAAGCTAGTTACTCCCAATGAAGTTACGAAAGAAATTCAGACAAATATCAATTTACAGAAAGCCCCAGGATATGACCTTATTACTGGAGAAATATTAAAAAAACTACCACAGAAGGCTATTGTTAAATTGACATACCTCATAAAAGCAGCATTTCGCCTTGAATATATACCTGATGCGTGGAAAATGGCTGAAGTGATCCTAATTCCTAAGGCAGAAAAACCTTCGAATGAAGTGTCATCATATAGACCTATATCATTGTTACCGATGATATCTAAGTTATTTGAAAAACTACTACTAAAACGACTAAAACCAATAACTGAAAATAAAAATCTAATCCCTTCGCACCAATTGGGTTATAGAAACAAACACTCGACAATAGATCAAGTACACAGGATAGCCGATATTATCGAAAATTCTTACGAAGAAAAATATATATGCTCAGGTATATTTCTTGACGTAGCCCAAGCATTTGACAAGGTTTGGCACGCTGGCCTGATACAGAAACTTGGAAAAAAGCTCCTTAGAGAATATGTCGACATTCTACAATCACATCTAACGGGAAGAATGTTAAAAGTAAAGCAAGACGAGACATACTCCGAAATGAAAGTGTGTCCCACAAGGCAGTGTGCTGGTTCTTTCCTTATTATACACCAGCGATGTCCCTCAACAACAATGAGTTAAGATAGCATCATTTGCGGATGACACTGCAATATTAGCAGATGGCGGAACTAATACAGAGACCTCAGAAAAACTTTAGGAAACCTGCAACAGAATCAATCGATGGACCAAAAAGTGGAAAATAAAAATAAATCAAACTAAATCAGTACATGTTGATTTTACTTTTTGACCAAATGAACAAAAACAAATAAGAATAAACAATAGCGTTATTCCGTATCACGATTCGGCCAAATACCTAGGGATGAACTTAGATGTAAGACTTAAATAGAAAGACCACATAAAAAAAGCGTACAGAACTTGAACTTAAATTCAAAAAAATGTATTTCCTAGAAAAACAATTCAAACAAACATACAACAAACTGCTGATTTATAAACAAATCCTAAAACCAATCTGGATTTATGGCATACAGCTATGGATATGTGTCAGCAAGAGTATTATAAACAGGATACAAGTTTTCCAAAATAAAGTCCTAAGATACATTTTTGATGCACCTTGATTCTATCGAAACGATTTATCTTTATAGAGACCTGAAGATGTCAACAATCGAAGAAGAAATAAAGAGGTTTTCTGCGAAATATGAGGGACGACTCCATTCCCACGTCAATGAAGAAGAGCTGCAATTACTTGACAACTCTACACTCAACAGAATTTTAGTGCTAGTGTAAAACAGTGTAATAAATTTTCACGCCAACTTGTGATGCTTTCCTATAGAAACAATTAAGACAGTCCAATGGGGACTTCTTAGATAAGTATTTAGTTTATAAGATTTTTAGATTAAAATTGTAGGTTAGTCAATAATGACTAGTAACAATACTCTAAAAAAAATATTTAACAATTGAAACGTACGGGAGTAAATTTTCTTATTACTGTATAGAAAACATGTTAAGTGTGTTCTTCATCCACTATAATATCATTCATAGATGTCGCTACTCATTACACACGAATATGCTGTTAAACATTTGCCTCAACTTTATCACGTAAAAAACGTTAAACAAAGTACGTGATCTAACGCTTTGTAAAATTTGATGTGTCTTCACCAGAGGAACCCTTGGAAGGTTCAGATTTGGATCCAGAATTTGTGACAGGAGAACAATTCTCAGAGAGTGCAGAAGAAGTGCAGATGAGTTTTGAGGTTACAATTTAACGCTGCATGTAAAACTTGTTTAGTAATTTCATATAACATGTATACAGTTTTTAATGTATCTACAATATTATGGTATTAAATGTTGCCAACATTTTATTTCTCACCAGCAATTGAAATAACATTTAAAAATTTAGTCAATTGTAGTTGGAAAAAAATGTAAAAGGGGTAAGCACTTTGCCTCACACACTTTTGTTTATACGAAATGTTTCATGTGTTCTTTATTATAATATTTTGTTCAACAAATTTGCATAAAAAAACTTGTTAAGTAGCATTTTTTCTACTAAATGCATTTAATATACAACAAAAGGAATTACGATGTTGCTTACTGTTTATTATCTGAGACATACTGTGTTTTCTCACTGTTAAAAGTTTTTTATCTAAACGAATTTTCAGTATTATATCTGGACCAAATTTGTAGAAAAACTCCTTTCCTGTAAAATTTGAATTTTGTCACTCACCAAAATGCTTGAAATCTCATTTAACAATATATTATAAACTAATCGTTGCAGTATTATAAGATGCAGTAGTTTCATTAAACTTTTTAATTGGTTTTAGTATAACAAGATGTAGCGAAGCCAATACATTAAACCAATCGCCAATGAAGAGCAAATTTCATTAACAAAAAAATGTTTTCCTAAATAGGAGAATAAATAATAAAAAGGAGATACATCCGACTTATAAATATATTCTTAGGTATACTGTTTAAAGCATTTTCATTATAGATTACTAAGTTTTTTATCACAATTTTATCTCCTTTTCACCTTTTTCTTATTGAAACCCCTCTCCTCCCAAAGTCACTTCATTTAATCTGCCACTGACTAGGGTAAAAAGCTTTTTCATATTTCAGATTCAAATACTAAAAAATAAATAATTCAAATATAAAAAAATCAAATTGCCATTATCGAATAATTCTTCCATTCTTCTGAAATGTAGGAATTTTCGGGAGTGAGCTGTTCTTTATGCTTGAAGTAGGTTTGGTTTGGAACTCCTTTCGAACAAACGCTTCGCAATTTGAGTTCTTCCGATTTGGAATTCATTTGGTAAACGTCCATATAACACACTGGTTTTCCACTGGTTGATGTCGTCGTGTAGAGGTGGATGAAGTGGCGTTTGTTCTTCGAGTTGTCTTGTGATAGATTTTGGCTTTCGTATGGAGTGTCAGACCTTTCTCTGCAAAACAAAATATTGTGTTATTATTATTATTATTATTATTATTATTAATTGAGTGTAATAATTATTTTTCTAGTTCAATATCAGATTTAAAATAAATACGATGGAAATATTTCTCATAGTGTTAACAGTTGGTAGGGTCCGATTACAATTAATTAGAAGAACACAGCTACTGTTAAAATACCCGTAACAATTATAGTACGCAACCCTGTCTGATTTAGTTACTTTTGTTTTATAAATATGACTACCTGTATTGTCGTCTGTCAGTGACAATGTCAATGTAAGTACTTCCGGAAAATTAACCAACGAATGTGCGCACCTAACCTGAGTTGCTATTTTAATTTTAGTATTGTTTGTTCAAATAGTTATATGTTAATTAAAAGCTATTATTTACAACCATATATGTAATGTTGTCATTAGTAATGTCATTGAAGGTTGGGAAGTGTCACATTACACACCTCTACTTCCCACCCCCACTTCCCGCCCTCACTTCCCGCCCTCAGTTTATCTATCCTAGATAAATATTTTTTATATTTAAAAAAATAACACATTTTCTTGACAAATTTTATAATACCTATTTAATGGCAAACAATAAAAAAAAATCTGTTGTGTCCAACACATGACTTTCCTATCTAGTTATTATAGGCTTTTTCCGGTTATTTTGTACAAACTATTGCAGCATCTCTATAAATTTTTAGAGGATTAACTAAATATATACATTGTCCACATACATCTACCTCGAAACATTTTTCTATATTCATTGAAAACGAAAATACTGAAAAATTTAAATTTAGCACTTTTCTTACAATTTTTCCATTACGGTCCATTTTAGAAAAATCATGTATAAACAAAAATTATAGAGATAGATATCGCAAACAACTTTTAGTTCAACAATTTTCATAAAAATCAGAATTTTGCACATTTTGTCAAATTTCTCGAATACGGACCATTTCAGAAAATTTTGACATAAAGCAAAAATTATAGATGATAATAATTATTAGAAGTAACTTTTATTTAAACAATTTTCTTCTCCAAACATAAATAAAATATATATTCCATAAAATATAAAAACGGCCTCCCATAAAGTACCCCCAGATGTTCCGACTTTGTCCAAAATCTAATAATTTCACGTCAGGCCGAAATAAACCTTAAGTTTAAATTTTTAAATTTTTGAGTTTTCTTCAAAATTCGAAATTTACACATTTTCTCAAATATCTCGAATATGGTCCATTTTAAAGAAATTATGTATAGTATAAAAATTATAGAGGATTATATTACAAACAACTTTTATTTAAACAATGTTTATAAAAAATTATTTTTTTTTACATTTTGTCAAATTTCTCGAATACGAATCATTTTAGGAAAATTTTGTATAAAACAAAAATTATAGATAATTATATTAGAAGTAACTTTTAGTTGAAGAATTTTCTTCTCCAAACGTAAATAACAGATATATTCCATAAAATATAAAAATGACCACCTATAAAGTACCCCCCCAGATGTTCTGACTCTGCCCAAAATCTAATCAGTTCATTAGACTCTAGAATAAAGCTTAATTTTAAAATTTGTTGTTTTCCTGTGTATCGGTTCATGAGTTATGCGACATACAGACACACAGACACACAGACACACAGACAGACACACAGACACACAGACACACAGACACACAGACACACAGACACACAGACACACAGACACACAGACACACAGACACACAGACACACAGACACACAGACACACAGACACACAGACACACAGACACACAGACACACAGACACACAGACACACAGACACACAGACACACAGACACACAGACACACAGACATACAGACACACAGACACACAGACACACAGACACACAGACACACAGACACACAGACACACAGACACACAGACACACAGACACACAGACACACAGACACACAGACACACAGACACACAGACACACAGACACACAGACACACAGACACACAGACACACAGACACACAGACACACAGACACACAGACACACAGACACACAGACACACAGACACACAGACACACAGACACACAGACACACAGACACACAGACACACAGACACACAGACACACAGACACACAGACACACAGACACACAGACACACAGACACACAGACACACAGACACACAGACACACAGACACACAGACACACAGACACACAGACACACAGACACACAGACACACAGACACACAGACACACAGACACACAGACACACAGACACACAGACACACACAGACACACACAGACACACAGACACACAGACACACAGACACACAGACACACAGACACACAGACACACAGACTTACACACACACATCATCGCGAAAATAGTCAAAACGGATTCAGGGGACCTCAAAACGTAAAAATCCGTCGAAAACTTGAGGTCGAAAAAAATCATGATTCCTATACTTTCCTTATATCTGTATACAGATAGGAAAGTGACAACAATGAACTAAAATACAACAAACTACTTATTGATATTTATTATTCGCGAATTTAATATCCGGCTTTATCTGACATTAATGTATATTGGTGACAGTTGTTTACCGCGTAATCACAGTAACAATATATTTACTTGATTATTCGCGTCTCGGTGATCTAACTAATCTCACGTCAGGAATGAAACTCTTCCCACCTCGGTGTGTAATATACTATTACCAAACTATTTCCACATTATTTTATCTAACAGCTACGTCATCATTTAGCAAAGTAATTAATTGGTTATCGCCGCCTACTGGAGGTTTAGTGGTTTGTTAATATTATAGAAATATAGAAAATATTGTTTCATATCTAACAACTTATTTATTTTTTATTCATTGATAGTTATAAATAATATGTATTTGAAATTCGAAGTAATGGTTATGACGTAGCGGTGTTCTTCTAATTGTAATTGGACCCTAGTATTTATTTGGTATGTCACTTGCCGATAAAAATCGTGTATTAATAAATTTGCAATAATTGGTCATTATTTATTACCCGGTATAAGTTACCAACGTCAAATATAGTGGAACATGCAACATTTGAGATATTAATGACCTTGTTACTTCATTTTGCTTACTTTGTTAAAGAAAACACTTATCAAACCTAATGTTGTTTTTTATAGCTTATTTTAATAATGTTGATTTTTCAAAATTTAAAATTCTTTGCAAAACCAATTCCCTTTCCCGAAGAGTTAATAGAAAATATATCATTAATGTACAAATTAAAGAGAATTGATCCCAGTACGGTACCTTGAGGAACTCCAAACGATACAACTTTTTCTCTACTGAGTTCTCCATTTATCTTAAAATTTTGTTTTCGGTTAGTTAAGTAGTCTTCAAAAAATTAGTATGGGATTCCCTGTATCCCTGCATCATCTAAGACGTCTAACAACTGTGATGTCATATTGTCGCTCTGACAATAATTTATGCTTGTCTATGAAGTCCATTAATCTTTTCTTTACAGTTTTCTCCATTATTTTAGCCAACGTAGTAATTAGGGATATGGGTCTATATTGGACATTTCATCTTTTTTATGATATGGAGTGACGATAGCTGTTTTAAATATAGGGGGACAGACCCCATTAGCAAATATCAAATTTATGAGCTCAGCAATAGGTCTGATTAGCTCGTTATGCAGTTTTTTAAATAACTCGGCTTTCAAGTTATCTACTCCCGGTGCTTTATTTTGTTTTGTCAGTCACTGGTAACCAATAAAATTTTTCCGGGTTGGAGGAGGATTTGTTGGTCTTGATATTTTTCATGTTAGGTTTTCTCCTACTGAAGCAAAATAATTATTAAATTTCTCCGCAATATCTTTTTTATCATTAATTCTTTCGTCCGAATTTGTGAGTATTTTATTAATACTATTGATTTTTTTTTTATTTTTTTTGTTAACCAGATTCCACAAATATTTTGTATTATTTGAATTATTTTGTATTTCGGCTCGGTAGTTAATTTCGTTTTGTAATTTTAATTAACTCATTATTTATCTGTTTACGATAGTTAACGTATAAATGTTTTTTTTTCCTCATCATTTGGATTTTGTTGATGTTCTTTATATAATTTATTTTTATGGTTTATTGACCGGACAAGACCTGCTGTTATCCAATTTTGACGCTTTTGGTTGGTTGTGTTTAATTTTATTGTTTTTGTGTATTTTTTTAGTAATGTATTTAAAATATTTAGTAATTCTTGGGTTTCTTTGTTTGTATCGTTCATATCATAAAAAGTTTGGCAATTAAAATTTTGAAGCTAATTTTGAATTTTTTTATAGCTTATGAATGTTTTGTAATTGTATGTGTTGTTGTATTTAGTTTTAGCTATTATAGGAAAACTGATTATCGTAGCTCGATGGTCCGTGATGTTATTTTCATATACCTAATTACTTCGTCGAGAAATTCTGCTACTGCCCTGAGAAATATATGGTCTATGCAGCTGCGTGAACTTTTGAATGCGCGTGTATTTATTTATCGTAGAATGTAGATTATATTCATTTAGTAAATTTAAATATTTTGAAACATCTTTAATGTTTATATTAATATCACCAACTAATAGTTTAGAATAGTTTATTTGTTCAAGATAATTTTCTAGACTCGAAATGAAGTTTTCAGGTGTAATTGTTGATAGAAGTAAATAAAATGTGCTTGTTACTATGCATGTCAATTTTTATCTGTAATGCCTTTGAGTTGCCAATATCAATAATTGTGCCATCTGTGTTTAATTCATTTTTACATATACAATTACACCGTTATAACTACATAACTTTTAATTTAAACATTTATTTTTAGATATGCAATAATCACTGATAAAGGGTGAGTACAATATACAGAGTGTTTCAAAAATGTATGTCATAAATTCTTCCTCAGATAGATTACCAAAAAATAAGTGGATTTGGCTATATTTACCTATCAAAAACTGGCTCCCAACAAAGTTACATTCAGGAAAACGTTTTTTTTTTTTTTTTTGTAAAAAGTTTGCTGTTGCGATTTTTTCTTTGAA